TTGTATTTTTAGTAGAGACAGGGTTTCTCCATGTTGGTCAGGCTGGTCTCTGACTCCCAACCTCAGGTGATCCACCCACCTCGGCCTCCCAAAGTGCTGGGATTATAGGCGTGAGCCACCGCACCGGGCCTCTGTCTCCCATTCTTACCCAGCTCCCCACAATGTTCCACTATGCCCTCTAGAACGCACTCACAGTTATCAGCCAATTCTCTATGTTCTCAACTTCTACTCTGAAAATTCCTTTCTCTTTGTTGCTTTGATTCTTTTCCAAAGACTTATTTTGCCTGCAACCTCTCAAGTGGAGGTATTTTCTCCCCTACCTTCCTAGTTCCAAAATCTTGGCCTCTAAATTCTCCAACTTCCTCCCTTCTAATTACCTTCACCTGCCTCAGCCATTCATGCCCACAGTCATGCCCCCAGACTTTGCCAGTAACTGCATCCTCCACAATAATCCCAATGTCAAGCATCCCACCACCTTGCCCACCTGTCTTTCCAGCTCACTCTCTCTAGTGTTTCAATTCAACAGTTCTTTGGCCCCTCACCCTCAGAAGCAAAATATATGGAGATATTGTTTTATTCACTCTTATGCTCATACTTCAAATCTGATCCATCAAGAAATCCTGTGACTCCACCTTCAAAGTATATCTGAAGCTGACACTTTCTGTTACCTCCTCTGCTATCTCTTGCCTACCTTATTGCTGGAGCCTCATAATTAGTTTATCCACTTCTACTCTTACACCCCTGTGATCTATCGTCCTGGCAGCCAGGGTGACTTGTTTAAACCAGATTGCATGAAATCAATAAATTTAGATAGAAAAGAAAAGCAGTCAAAGACAGAACCCTGAGGCACTATATTTAGAGGTCAGGGAAATAAAGGAGAATTAGCAAAAGACATTGAAGTAAATCCACCAGAGAAGCAGGAGAAAAACCATGAATATATGACATTCTATATGCCAAGTAAAGGCAGTGATTCAAAGAAAAGAGATGTTGATAAGTAAGATGAAGACTAAATTTTGCCTACTGGATCTAGCCATGTGCTATTTATGGGTGACTTTGGCAAGTACACTTTCAGGGATAACTGGGGGTGAAAGTCTAACTGGGGTAAGTTCAAGAGAGAATAAGAAAGTGGGAAATGTATGAAACAAGCCTGAAGGATCTTGTTACACTACAAAGCCCAAACTTCATCAAATACTACTAGGGATGTATGAAAAGGACTTAGAAGCCTCCTTGAATAGCCTCCCATTGGCCAAAGATAGGACAATTTGAGTCATAAAAGAATGATGGCCAGGAGTTTAAGACCAGCCTGGGCAACAATGGGAGACCCCATTTCTACATATATATTTTTTTAATTAGCCCGGTGCGGCCAGGCATGGTGGCTCACACCTGTAATCCTAGCACTTTGAAAGGCTGAGGCATGCGGATCACGAGATCAGGAGTTCAAGACCAGCCTGGCCAACATGGAGAAACCCTGTCTCTACTAAAAATACCAAAAGTTAGCTGGGCATGGTGATGCATGCCTGTAATTCCAACTACTCAGGAGGCTGAGGCAGGAGAATAGTTTTAACCCAGGAGGCAGAGGTTGCGGTGAGCCAAGATCACACCATTGCACTCCAGCCTAGGCAATAAAAGCAATACTCCATCTCAAAAAAAAAAAAAAAAAAAAAAAAAAAAAAATTAGCCTGGTGTGGTAGCATGCACCTGTGTTCCCAGCTACTCAAGAAGCTGAGATAGGAGGATCATTTGAGCCCAGGAGGGTGAGGCTGTGGTGAGCTGTGATTGCATGATGGCACTCCAGCCTTGGTGACAAAGTGAGACCCTGTTTCAAAAATAATAGTAATAATTAACTACATCAGATTAAAACATAACAAATATTTTAAACTCATGAGCTAATCATGATAGTTTTAAAAACTCTAGCTAGGCATGGTGGCTCACATCTGTAATCCCAGGACTTTGGGAGGCCAAGGGAGGAGGATGGCTTGAGACCGTAAGTTCAAGACCAGCCTGGGCAACATAGTAAGATCCTGTCCCTACAAATAATTAAAAACTTTAAAAAGTAATAATATTTGGCCACCTTTGGAGGATGCTACACAACAAACTCATGTTTTTGAAAACTGATAACCAAAGGAAAAGAATCAAGCATTTAACTTATGTTTCCTATGTAATCTAACCCTTTAGAGTAACTGAATAGTTAATGAGGGGATGTTTCCTTTTATACAAGTATTTAAGTTAATAAATAAAGAGAGAATGACAGACCTAGAATATCATTGTTTTGTAATCCCTAATGAATTAGTGGGTCTAGGCAATGATCACCAGTGGCTACTACTATCACAAAGAGAGAGACAACAGGACATTGTGTACCCAAGTATGTTTTCCTTGAAAGCCCATTCACTTTCATTATACCTTTCTGTTTCCATTCAAATTAAACAAGGTCTACTTGCAGCACATTTGCCTCAACAGTAATCAAAAACAGGCCATGCACAGTGGCTCACACCTGTAATCCCAGCACTTTGGGAGGCCGGAGCTCATCACAAGATCAGGAGATCGAGACCATCCTAGCTAACACAGCGAAACCCCGTCCCTAATAAAAATACAAAAAGCCAGGTGTGGTGGCACACACCTGGAGTCCCAGCTACTCAGGAGGCTGAGGCAGGAGAATCTCTTGAACCTGGGAGGTGGAGGTTGCAGTGAACCGAGATTGTGTCACTGCACTCCACCCTGGGTACTCCAGCCTGGGTGACAGAGCAAAACTCCGTCTCAAAACAAAAACAGAAAAACAGTAATCAAAAAGAGGCAAAATTAATGGTCAATAAAGAAAGACTATCTTAAGGTTTAAGCTGAAGAGTCCACCCTAATGAATAGAAGCAATATTCTATGAAATCAGTGAGAGGTTCAGTGATGAATCAGACATAGTCCTTGATCCCAGGAGTTCATAAAGCAGCTGGAGAGAGAAAACTTGTCCACACACAACCACCATGAAAGTGATCCAATAGCCTTATTAACAATGATCTGGGTCCCATAAATCCACTTTCTTTGATAAACTGTTACCAGAAGGAAATAACAATACCTCAGAGCTCTCTGCTCCTATAACCAACCAGAGGTGGTACCAAGGAATGAGCCTTAGGAGTCAGTCAAGTCTGAGCTGGAGTCCCGACTCCCCCCCATCAATTAACTGTGTGACCTAGAGAAAGTTTCTTGAACTTCAGACTTGATTTTCTTTTCTGTAGAATGTAAATAATAATCTCTGCCTCCCAGGACTGCTGAGAGAATTAGGTAAATTATACAGGCTCTATATGTATGTGTCTGTGCCCTACTCCTCTCTACTCTCCTAACATCTCCACTTTGTCTCTCTCTACCACCCGCTTGTCTATACACATATCATCATCATGGTCTACCAGGGAACACTAATGTAAAGAGGTATAGGAGGAGGAGGAGCCCAGGCATTGTGGTCCATACCTCATGTAGTATACTGTCTTTGTCCTGGCAGACTGCAAGCACATAGATGGAGGCTTTGAAAACTGCCAGTGGGGGGCACTCGCCCTGGTCCTGCAGAGACAGGAGGAAGCTTTGCACAGCCTCAAATAAGTCTGCCTCTGAGACAAACCTGTCAACCAAGAAAAGCCTGAGTGAGAAAGACAGAGCTGGCAGGCCACTAGAATCTTCTGTCCCGCCTGGCACATCCTTCCTCAGCCCACTGTCCTGCCCCAGCATGCCCACAGCCTAATGACATCTTACACAAACAGTGTGCTATACATACTCACAAAGCTTTTCCACATATATACATCACACTGTTCTATGCCTTGTGCAAGGCTCAGTTAGAGGCCAAATACTCCCCATCCACACTTGTGAGGTAAGCTATCTGCCAGCTGGACCAGCACTGTTAAAGAGAAGGGTGCTACTGCTGGGGTTCAGCAGGCCCTGCTTTGGCAGCTGCTCTACCCCTCTCTTCTTGTATTTATCATTAAACAGTAGTGTGTTTGGCCAATATTTATCATTAAACAGCAATGTGTTTAGTAGACATAATACCAAAAACACAAATGACTAAAGAAAAAATAGATAAATTAGAGGTCATCAAAATTAAAAACATTTGTACTTCAAAGGATACCACTAAGAAAGTGAAAAGGGCTAGGTGTGATGGCTTATACCTAAAGTCCCAGCACTCTGGGAGGCTGAGATGGGAGAACTGCTTAAGGCCAGGAGTTTGAGACTAGCCTAGGCAACATAGTGAGACCACATCTCTACGAAAATAATAATAATAATTAACTGGTTGTGGTGATGCATACCTATAGACCTAGCTACTTGGGAGGCTGAGGTGGGAGGACCACTGGAGCCCAGGAAGTTGAGGTTGCAGTGAGCCATAATTGTGCTACTGCATTTAAGCTTGGGTTAGAGAGCAAGATCCGAAAGGAAAAGCAAAGAAAGGGAAAGGGGAAGGTAAGGAAAAAGGGAGAGTAGAGTCTGGAAAGGAAGGGAAGGGAAGGGGAAGGCAAGGAAGGGGAGGGGAGGGGGAAAAAAGGGGAGGGGAGGGGAAAGAAAGGAAGGAAAAAAGGGAAAGGCCAGAATAGGACAGGACATGAAAGGAAGAAAGAAATAAAGTAAAAAGACAGCAAACAGGAGGCCAGGTGCAGTGGCTTATGCCTGTAATGTCAGCATTTGGGGAGGCCAGGTGAGAGGATTGAGAATATACCCAAAAAGTGTTTTCTCACAGAAAAAAGAAAAAAAAAAATAAAAGAGAATATATCCCAAAAGAATTGAAGACAGTACTCTAACAAATACATGTACACAGATACTCACAATAACACTATTCACAACAGCCAAAAGGTGGAAAAAGTCCAAATATCCATCAATAGGTGAATGAAAACAAATTATGGTATATACATACAAAAGTATATTATTCAGTCATAAAAGGAATGAAGTACTGATACATGGTACAAACATTACGCTCACTGGATGGACCTCTAAAACAATACGCTAAGTGGAAGAAGCCAGATACAAAAAGTCATATATTGTATGATCCCATCTATATGAAATATTCAGAATAGATAAATCCAAAAAGACAGAATAGATTGTTGATTGCCAGGAGCTGGGGAGGGAGGAGGAATGGAAGTGACAGCTTTGCAGTGATAGAAATCTTCTGGAACTAGATGAAGGTAGGAGTTGCACATTTTGAATGTACTATTAAATACCACTGAATTGTTCACTTTAAAATGGTTAATTTTGGCCAGGCGCGGTGGCTCACACCCGTAATCCCAGCACTCTGGGAGGCCAAGGCGGCCAGATCACGAGGTCAGGAGTTTGAGACCAACCTGACTAACATGGTGAAACCCCGTCTTTACTAAAAACGCAAAAATTAGCTGGGTGTGGTAGCACTCACCTGTAATCCCAGCTACTCGAGAAGCTGAGGCAGGAGAATTGCTTGAACCCAGGAGACGGAGTTTGCAGTGAGCTGAGATCGCGCCACTGCACTCCAGCCTGGGCGACAGAGCAAGACTCTATCTCAAAAAAAAAAAAAAAAAAGGTTAACTTTATGTTGTGTAAATTTTACCTCAATAAATTATTTTTGTTTGTTTTTTGTTTTTTGAGACGGAGTCTCGCTCTGTCGCCCAGGCTGGAGTGCAATTCAGCCTCCCGAGTAGCTGGGATTACAGGTGCCCGCCACCACACCCAGCTAATTTTTGTATTTTTAGTAGAGACAAGTTTTCACTATGTTGGTCAAGTTGGTCAAGTGATCCACCTGCCTTGGCCTCCCAAAGTGCTGGGATTATAGATGTATGCCACTGAGCCTGACGAATAAATTATTATTACAATTTTGAGATGGAGTCTCACTCCATTGCCCACACTGGAGTGCAGTGGTGTGGTCTCAGCTCACTGCAACCTCCGCCTCCTGGGTTCAAGCAATTCTCCTGTCTCAGTCTCCCAAGCAGTTGGACTACAGACACCTGCCACCATGCCTGGCTAATTTTTGTACTTTTAATAGAGACGGGGTTTCACATTGTTGGTCAGGCTGGTCTCGAACTTGCGACCTCAGGTAATCCACCCACCTCAGCCTCCCAAAGTTCTGGGATTACAGACGTGAGCCACCATATCCAGCCCAATAAATTATTCTTTTAAAGGTTAAGAAAGAACGGTCCTTTTTATTTTTATATCCTTTTTGAGATGGAGTCTCAACCACTCTGTCATCCAGGATGGAGTGCAGTGGCACAATCTCAGCTCACTACAACCTTGTCTTGCTGTAACATCTGCCTCCTGGGTTCAAGCAATTCTCTTGACTCAGCTTTCTGAGTAGTTGGGATTATAGGTGTGCACCACCACACCCGGCTAATTTTTGTATGTTTTGTGGAGACAGGTTTTTACCATGTTGGCCAGGCTGGTCTCAAACTCCTGACCTCAAGTGACCAGCCCGCCTTGGCCTCCCAAAGCACTGGGATTACAGGTGTAAGCCACTGTGTCCAGCCATGATTTTTAAAATGTAATAAACTGTATAGTAATTATTAAAACCGGCCAGGCGCAGTGGCTCACACCTGTAATCCCAGGACTTTGGGAGGCCAAGGTGGACAGATCACAAGGTCAGAAGATAGAGATCAGCCTGACCAACAAGGTGAAACCCCGTCTCTGCTAAAAAAAAATGCAAAAATTATCCAGGCATGGTGGTAGGCGCCTGTAATCCCAGCTACTTGAGGAACTGAAGCAGGAGAATTGCTTGAACCCAGGAGAGGGAGGTTGCAGTGAGCTGAGATCACGCCACTGCACTCCAGCCTAGAGCAAGACTGTCTAAAAAGAAAAAAAGTGATTATTAAAACCAAACTAAACTACTGAAGTTTTTTTTTCTGTGCACAAACAACACCCTCAAGGATAGCAAGAAATACTCATTGGCTTTCTAGGCCTCTGACTATCAGCACAGTGTCTACTCACCTGTTCTAAAACCCTTCCAAGATATGAGTCTCTCAGGGACACAACCTATTTCTTACTTATCCCTGGGTCCCCAATGCCCAGCATCAGGCTAGGAGAGATGCCTCTGTGAATATTTATTGAACTGAATAATTGATGAAGGTCCCAAGACCCACCAACAGCTACCACCTCTATGCACTGACCTGTCCTCATGGACGTAGGCCAAGTAGAAGAGGAGCAGGATGCAGTGCTGTCTCTGTCGAGCTGCTCCCTCCACGTACTGGCGATCAGACAGGAAAGCAAGGCTTTCAGGGCTCCTGCTGCTTATCTGGGGCAGCCCATGCTGCAGGAGCTCAGACACTGTAGAGAGTTCTGGGGAGGGAACAAGTAGAGGAAAGCCAAACAGAGAACATAAGAGAACAGGTAATCAGCACATTAGTATCTACTACACGCAGAATACTGCACAGGGCAGCCAAGGGGTACATGCAGTATAGAAGGAAATAAGGAAATCAGAGGCTCCTCTTCCTTTGAGCAGGGTTCAACCTACTGGGAAAGACTAACGTTAACATATTGAAGGACATGGATATGCCTCAAAAATTAACATTCATTCTTTCATTCATTTGACATATGTTCAATGAGTGGCTACTACTCTTAGGAGAGGCTATGAGACCTAGGCCCTACCTTCAGGACTGGCAGCTGATGGGAAGAGACACATAATGAGACAGGCAATTGCAGGACATGTGGTCATGCCATATTGAGGAGGGAGTGACTCAGGCCGCCTGGCATGGGGAAGGCAAGGTCAAAGAGGAAGAAACTGTGGGCCAGCCATGGTAGCTCACACCTGTAATCCCAGCATTTTGGGAGGCTGATGGAGGCAGATCACCTGAGGTCAGGAGTTCAGGACCATCCTGGCCAACATGGTGAAACTCCACCTCTACAAAAATATAAAAATTAGCCAGGCATGATGGCAGGTACCTGTAATCCCAGCTACTTGGAAGACTGAGGCAGAAGAATTGCTTGAACCCAGGAGGCGGAGGTTGCAGTAAGCTGAGATGGCACCATTGCATTCCAG